AAGCCTTTTCCCTTTATATCCACTGATAGAAACCCAAATGGAATCAATCTGTTTGCTATTATCTTTGATATCCTCAACTTCAACAGGATGTAACTCACATTTGATATATAAAGCTACTCCCCCCTCTTTAATATTCTATCCCTATTAAATAGTTCTTTCATCAAAATCATCTACGTTTAACCACGTTTCAGTTATTCCCATTATATCAGAATCCTGCATTCTTACTAGAACTCTAAAGTCATCTATTTTATTTCTTATACTTCTAGCATTACAATAGTAATAATTAAGCCTATCCTTACAACTACTTCTATACTCATTTTCTATGCTAAACTTTTCTCTGCTTCTTATTCTTTTTGCATTTGATTTTTCCTGGTCTTCACCACTGTCTAGTCCTAGTTTAAAACTTCCCTTACAATTGAGTTAATAGACTTGGCAAACAAGCCAGCCCCTACTCTTTTTAAATGTAAACCATCCATTGCAAAAATCTCCCTTCTTCCACTGAACTGATCACAAAAGTCCAACCAGCCAATCTGCTCATTCTTACATACTAACCTAAGCCTAGCATTTAGCTCTAGTGACCTACTTATAACTTCATCCCCACAGTTAATTCTGGGCAGTATCCTTGTCAAAATTACATTATGGCTGTTTTTTTAAATGCCTTTATCGACCCCTTGTAATTATTAATTAGTTCCTCTGACATACCTTTCCCTACATCATTAGCCCCTACATGCACTACAAAAACTGCATTTCTGCTAGCCACCTTTATTATATCTCTTGCTCTGTCAGTTATAGCCTTCATCTGTGCCCCTGGGTGGCATAATCTGATTCTTTTATCCCTATATATCCCACAGACTATTCTATCCACATGTCTTATCAAGGAATCACCTATAGCTATAACATCCTTATCATCCACATCCTTCTCTGACCCTTTTGTTTTCCTTCCCTCCAATAGTTCCTTATCTGCTGAAGCCAAGAGCTGAAACTTGTTGCTCAACAGAATAGGCTCATTATAACTAAATTCACTACTTTTACCCCTAACAGTACTCTTTCTAACTATCCCTTGCATTTATTCATTGAGAACCTTAGTTTTAAAATAATCTTTGCTGAGGAATAGCAATAGCACCAACAAAGAGTTCATTATTTTATGGGAGAATAGAGCAAGACAAAGCTTAAGAAACATTCTTCTTTCCAAGAGATAATGGTATGGTAACAATAGTGTTTTTTGTGAACTTGAAAATGAACATCTGAACTTCTTGCATGTAACACTATTTGGCAAGGACTGCTGTTTTTTTGTGTAAAAAAAAAAGGGGGGGCACATTCCTGATTGAAATTTTCATGTATCGGCTAAATTCTTTAATGCTAGTTATGCATGTATACACAAGTAGTTTTTTGTTTTTTAACTAAAGAATGCCAGTAGTTGAGCTGACAAGATATTAGATTTTTTAACATAAAGCAAAACTATTAATTATTTTTATATATTTACATATCATATTCAGTGCTCCTCCACCCTATTAATTATTAAACTATTTGTTATTTTCATATATTTACAGTTGCAATTTGCATAACACAATTGTTACTTGCCCATCTATTAATTATTCAATAAATTTACAGTTACTGTGGAAATGCCATAGTCAGTGCTCGCCCATTGTATTTGCCATTCACCAAAAACTAATGTCAGGCTAATAATATGGTGGAAATAAAACCAATATGCTGAAATTTTTGGTGAAAGTAAACTCTACAGTGCTCTCCATTTATAGTTAGCAGTAAATGTGTTTGACAAATGTTGAATAAAGAACTTCATTTTGCTGTCAGTATGGCAATTTCTGCCTTCTTTGATCCTGATTGATAGTTTAGAGTTCCTGGCCATACCTAGATATAAAGCTTTAAAGAATTCCTATATCACCATTGACTATGTTGCTCATTTTCTCCAATCATGCATATTAGGTTACTTGTACCATTTTGTGCACCTTATGTGAGCATTGAATAAAAACCAAAACATAAATTGACTTGCATGTTCTCAGGTGCACTTAAAGCCTCCCATTTTCTAATATATTGTGGACATGAATATACAAATATGACTAAAATGAATACTGGCTAAAAGTTAAGCTAAAAAATATTAGGGTGGGCTGCCCCACATAATTGAAGCTTTTTTCAAAATGATTATAAAGAATTAGGTAGTAGAAAATTTTGACTTCTGTAACTGAAAGATTCCATGTTTGTTTTCTTTAGGTAAGAAGTACTTGAATACATTTTAAATTTAATGAGTATTATTAAGGAATGCATGTTTTTAACAACATATTATTTTGAGAGGAACAGGGTGTATATTAAAAATATTTGATAAAAGAATGTGAAAATAGTTGAGTTAGTTGTATATTCTTTCTTACAAAATAACACGTAGGACAAAAAAGAAACAATTTGGTTTTTCAAGGCTGTTCCTACACCTACCCATGAGAAAAAGTAAAAACTTAAACCCACCTTTTGTATTTTTTTTCCAGAAAATCATCTACTCTTTTTTAATACTCTGTCTAAAGTTAGCATTATAAACACTATGTTATCTACTGGACATTATCAAAGTGTTTGAATATTTTTCACCTGTTACAAATAATTTCCACCAGAAGAATAAATTTGAGAAGTAAAAAGCCATTTTAAATATGACTTCACTTTCAACTTAGAGATATTACTTGTAATAACCTGACCTCATTCTGCTTGCTTTATATTATATTACATTTAATTATGTTGACTTTGACACTAATTGTAGTGATAAGAAAAACACCAAGAAAGTATGTGTTTAATCATACACTTCCAAATTACATAAAAATTAAGTATCATTACATAACATATGGACAACTAGGGACCATTTGGTTCTTCAAGGCTGTCCTTTCACACCTACTCTTGAGAAAGTAAAAAATTAAGATCAACCCTTGTTATTCAGGAAATCATTGATTTTCCTTTTAAACTCATGTAAAATGCTTGTCTCCATTATTGGGAACAGCAACTCATTCCATAAGTTAATCACCATATTAGAAAAATAAAGCTATCATAACTGGTGCCTAGTCTGTCTTATAACCTATCCTTGTAAGTTAACCATTCTGCTCCAGGAATCATGTTAGTAGATCTCTCATGAAGCTGTTCCAACAAGACGATATGCTTTCTTTGATAAGGAAACCAAATTGTATGCGATTCCAGAGCATGGGCAACCATCCAGGTCAGCAAAGCTGAATAAGCTATTAGAAAGACATTTCCCCAATCTCATATCAGAAGCAAAAAGGAACCGAACAAAAGGTGGTTTAGGTGTTAGAAGGAAGGGAAAAGAAAAGAATTGCAGTGCTTGTGTCCAGATTTCTGTGTTGGTCTACCCAGCACCCTGCTTTTGAACACATTATACAAAAGCAAACTATTAGATAAGTTATATAAACCAAAACTTATATTTCACTATCAATTCAAATAGATAACTTATACGCAAAGACTATCATTATAACAAAGAAGAAAATAAGTACCAACTATGTGGATTTCTGTCTCAGAAATTACTCATTTAAGGGATTGATAATAATTAAACAATAGATAGATGTATTAAGTAATTAATAAATAGTCTTAGAATGTGGTGTATTTGTAGCTTGATTGAGAAAAGAAAAAGTATTTTGTATATCTTATGATAGATAATGTTTGATAATGTTACCTACATTTTGATAAATTTCTTTTAACATCGTTACAGATTTTGTGATGGACAGCTACCAAATGTCTTCATTTATAACATCAGGAAAACAAAAGTAAGTTGTTTTTAAATACAGACTTTTATTTTCATATATCAAAAGATTTCTATTAAAGGTGTAATTAAAATCAATTTTTTTTTATGTATCTATGTCCTGTGTTCAACAAAACCTATGGACAACAAGCGACAACTTGGTCCTTCAGTGTTGTCTTTTCACACCCATCCTTGAGAAAAGTTAAAATTTTATCTCACCTTAATTAGTGAGAAAATAATTGATTCTCGACTTAACCCTATAATGACCAGTGAGCACCTTCCAGGTGTTGATTTCACACCAACATTCAAATTTTAAAATTTAAATAAAACTAATAATTATAACTCTATTTTAACACTTTTTTTACTCAAAACTGTTTTAGAATTGATGTTTTGTCATTTTGTGGAATTTATTTAGTATAATTTACAAAAACAAAAATTGCAATATGATATCTTACCTCCTTATTCATTATCTCGTATTTCCTATGATTCTCAATCTGTTCTCCTTCGTGAACAATCTATGGGCCAATATTTTATGTTCCCTCCCTTTGGGGATCAACTTTGTTCACCTCGTACATCTGAAGATCATATTTATGCATTTCATCGATCTTCCTTCCTTCCCTTATCTTGATTCCTAACATTTGGAATCTTTCATTACATTGTGGGGTTTGAACCCTAATGCATCAGTGAATTTCTCACAACCTCAATTTTCCTGTATCAGACTGATGTTGTCCACAATTCTGCATGCATTATTGACTATGCACTTGCTGGAACAGGCAATTCACTTGTCTCCTGAAGGGTTTTCAGTTGATGTTTGCCATAGTCTTTACTACAGTGGCATATCTTTCATCTTTGGCCCTTCTGACATGGTGGATATGCTGGTGGGACTTTCTGGGTCAGGATGCCATTCTTTCTCGAGTATGTTTACCCACTACTTTCCAGTCATTTTTTTGGGGGTTCTCTTGACTTATTGGAGGCCGAGTTGTGTCCAATTGTCTGCATAATTTCTTATCCTTGTTAGCTTCCAATTTATCCCAACCTCCTCCTATTGTTTCTATGCCCCCCTTCCCTTGTACAACCTTTTGCTGGTCTTGGCTTCTCATTGTTCATCCATTTGCAGTCGAGTTGTTATTGGAAGGCATTTCAGAGGATTACAGAGTTTGGGCCAGTGGGAGCCAGGTGTATTCATTTTCACTATATATGTGTACACCATTTACAATGGATACATGGGTTCTACAGGTTTTTCAGAAGGTCTGGCCCTTTACTTTCATTCCCCTTCCCTGTTGTCTCCTCATCCCATTGCCTTCCCACCACCAAGGGATCCTGTTTCTCACCAGTGTCTACAGGAGGTGGTTCGGGACTTACTTTGGAAAGAGGCCATAGAACTTCTCATCCGGGGTTTTACTCTTTTCTGGTCATTGTACCCAAAAAGACAGGAGATTGGCTACCATTTATAGATTTTTTTTCCCTGAACTGTTTCCTGGTCATACCCAAATTCATGATGGAGTCTTACTTCACCCTTTGGTGGGTTTTCACTCTCAGATTGTGGATGACAAATTTCAATGTTTTGGATGCCTATCTACACATTCCTATTTCCCAGGCATCCCGGCATTTCCCCCATTTTGTTTATTAGGGGAATGTTTATCAGTTTTGGGCTTTACCATTTGGCCTGGCCTTGCCTTCTTATGCCATTTGTTGAGTAGTCAGGTTGTTCGCTCAACTACTTGATGCCGGAGGTCTTTGTTTTCACCATTACATGGACGACTGGCTACTTTTAGCTTCCTCTCAGGTCGAATCTACTGTTCATACTTAATTCCTTCTTTGAGAGACTGCCTGAGTGGGTTGGCTTCTGAAGGTAGTTCTCACACCCACACAATATCTGATTCATCTGGGTGTGTTTTTCAATTCCCTCATCAGTCAGGCCCAGCCTTCTCCCTTTCGTTTATGGGATATGGAATATTTCATTTACAGTCTATTGGCCTCCCCTACTACACGAGAGACCCTATCTCTTTGGGGGATGTGGGTTTCTGTCGAAGCCCTCATTCCTCTTGGTTATGCCCACAAGCATCACCTTCAGTGGCTGTTACTCAACCACTGGAGCCTCATTCAGGATCCTTTAGATGCTCCTATTATCCTGCATCCCCACCTACAGGCTGACTTCACTTGGTGGTTGAATCAAACTAATACTACAATTGGAGTTCCTTTTTCACTTCTTTGACTGGATTGTCATCTTTTTACAGATGCTTCCATTTTGGGTTGGGGTGCATATCTCAACACACAATAGGTTTTGAGTTGGACAATGACTGAATCATCTCTCCATATCAACATCTTGGAGTTGCTGGTAGTTCATCATGCTTGGCTTCACTTCTTGTTGAATGTTTGGGGGTGTTCAGTGATGGTCCATTCTGACAATTCCATGGTATTCTCTTATATCACCAGGCAAGGGGGGGTACCTGGTTCCAAGATCTTTGTTTCCAAATGTTGAATCTTCTCTACTGGGCTCACAATAATCACATCAGAGCATTAGCATGTCATATTCCCTGAATCTGGTCATGGACCTAATATCTCGGCCTCACAAAATTCTCCTGACAGTGTGTTCATTAGACCCGCAGATGTTTTGAAAGTTGTGTACTCATTGGGATATTCTGTATGTGAATGCTTTTGCCACACATCTAAATGCACAAATTCCCCATTTTTGGTCTTCCATTCCTCATTCTTTGGCAGAAGCTGTAGATATTCTCAGTCAAAACTAAAATGGATATTACCTGTATGCATATCTTCCTATTCATCTTCTTCCTAGGGTCCTTTCATTGATTCATATCACTCCGTGTTGTGTGCTCGTAGTGGCTGCATTTTGGCCTGTTCAGATGTGGTTTCCACTACTGTGCAGGCTTTCAGTGCCACTTTCCCTTCCTTTGCCATTGTCACCCATGCTCTTTCTTCAACCTCAATCAGGCATGCATCATCCATCCATTCCTGCCCTCTGGCTTCACGCATGGTTTTTATCTGGTCTCTCACCAGCCAATCTGGATTTTTCAGGTGTGTTGCCTCATTGATTGCCTGTCCTGTACATCCTTTCTTCTTGGCATAAATGGTAGACTTTTTGCTGCTGGTTTCTCCGCTATGGATATCGTCCTTCACAACCTTCCCTACTACAGTTGACTGCATTTTTCACCTGGCTCTTCAATAGGAGACTGTCATTTTCCTTGGTAGCCAGATATCAAACTGCATTATCTTGCGCATTAAGATTTACTGAGTTTGCCTCTGTTTTCCAATCTCCCGTGTTGTCTTGGTTATTTTGTTCATTTTCCCTTTCCTGTCCTCCTTGCCTTGTGTTTCTCTCAGATTGGAATCTCAGTGTTGCCCTTCATGCTCTCTCTCCATTTGAACCTTGGCTTCACGTTCCCTGTATCACATTTCCTTAAAATCTCCATTTCTCATATTATTGGTTTGTGCTGAAACAATTGTTGTAGGATTAAGTTATGCACACCATAGAGATGAGGTGTTCCATAGGACTGCGAGTAGTTCTCTATAGTGGTCTTTTGCTTCATAAATATGTTTGACCCAAACCGTACCCTTCTGAACACACATGAGTAAAGCAGATGGGGATTGCTGCCCATCTGTGATGCTACATGTCACTGAGACTCTTCCTACTGTGGACCTGATGTACAATTCCAGATGCTGCTGGGTGTTGGTTGATCAACTCTGTCGACATGGTAGTTCCGCTTTTCAAAATAGGATATTGCAGTCACCCATTGCACTGTCTCTGGTGATGCAGTCGTCTGGACTCTTCAGTGGGTTTTTCCCTTTCTTCTAGTGAAGTATGGGAGTTTTTGCCACTTACCAGTTCCTAGCCACTGAGGTGGGACCATGGAGACCTGATCCCCTGAGTGATGCATCTCAGTTGAGAGTAGGGTGGTGGCATTCTGCAGGTGTTTGTGGTGTATAGCACTTACTACCATGGATCTCATGTACAATTCCATATATATATATATATATATATATCTGGCAGATTGCTTTTTCCCACTGTGTCATTCCCCCTACCTACCATCCTTTGGATGTTTATTCCCGGTGGGCCTGGTTTTGGCGGTAGATTCCCCATTTGTGGGAAGGATGGCTTTC